TGCAAAAAGTGTTTGTGCTTTGTAAATAGAAGGGACCGTACACATGACTATTGGTGTTGGGTCTTTCTGTGCCTGTCCAGTGGAAATGGCTCTTTCCTTCCTTGAGGCTACCATAACACTTACTGCATTTCTCTGTGTACACTCACATCTCATCCTCCTGCTCAGTCTCCAGCCCAGCAGCCTTTTTGCCACTAGCATTATATCTTGACAACACTTAGTTACCCTGCATTATAGTCATGCAAAAGGCCTTGCTGATTTGCATGCTTACTGACTTGCATTAATATGACTGGCATCAGTTTATGACGCCAGCAAGGCAAAGGTTACAGAGTCTCATAAGACCAGCCAGCTCCACACAGAAAAGGTTATTCCATAGATTGTCTAATTCTGTCAAACTTCCAAGATATTGGCTCCAAGGGTGACAATATGGGGATAGAAAAATCCCACCCATTGCCTCTGGGAAACATCTCCAAGTACACGGGCTACTGATGTTGGGTCTATGAGGTCAGTGGAAGAATCAGAGTGACGTCACTTAGTAATGCCCCCCCACCGATGAACTGATACATGAATGGAGTGAGCACTATAGATATAAATCATTAAAGCAACAGAAAATGAAGCAGAGTATAGCAAGGAAAAGACACCTGCAAAGATCTGAGGTTACTAGAAAAACTGTTATTCTGGTTGATGATTTTATGAGATTGTGTGTGTGTGTGCGCGCGCGCGTGTGTGCTTGTGTGCGTGTGTGTGTGCACGTGTGTGTGTGTGTGTGTGTGTGTGTGTGTGTGTACACAGTAGCCAATGTCCTTTGGCCTTCTCAATTTGTCACAAAACAACAAGCCAAAGATAGAAAGACTGTTTTAACTACAGGCTAAAAAAAGAAAGTCATGTTATTCAAAACAAAACAAAAACAGGATTCTAGACCTACATAATGTAGTTAATTGTCTAAAATGAATGAAAATAGTAGATTTTCAATTGGTCTGTACTCTGAAAACCTGTCTACCAAGCTATAGATAGAAAAAGACTTCTTTCAGAGAAGACGAGGATGGCCTGAGTATTGACTTACAATTTGAGGGTATGTTTTTGAAGTTTGAGGTAGGATAAAGGCCTCAGTCCATTAGAAATCCTGCCCGGCGATTCATCATCATAAAAATTTTCCCAACATTTTTGTCCCCCCCCCCCCCAGGCAACTCAGTACTAGCATTAGACGACTGTTATACATTTCTAGAAGATAGACTTGGTTTAAATTAACTGCTTTTTTTTTTTTTTAATTTTTTTTCAACGTTTTTTTATTTATTTTTGGGACAGAGAGAAACAGAGCATGAACGGGGGAGGGGCAGAGAGAGAGGGAGACACAGCATCGGAAACAGGCTCCAGGCTCCGAGCCATCAGCCCAGAGCCTGACGCGGGGCTCGAACTCCCGGACCGCGAGATCGTGACCCGGCTGAAGTCGGCCGCTTAACCGACTGCGCCACCCAGGCGCCCCTCAATTAACTGCTTTTTAAAAACCAATGCCAAGTTAACTGGTTGACCCCAAACAGAAGCAGACATCGAAATCTGGAATCTTATTTAATGTGGTTGTTTTTCAAGACCTACCTACTACACAGTCTGAAAGATGAGCCAGTAAGGCATATTGTAATGCATCTGAATATATTTTACTTAAATAGTCAAATATTCAAGTGTTCAAAGAATTGAAATAGGAATTCAGCCCACCTGCCTCCAGTCTATAGAGGGGCCCATTGGCCATTGAAGCAAAATGCTGTACTTTTTGTTGTCTCCTGGTAATGGAGACCTTGTTTGTCTGTAGGAAAAGAAGGATTTCTTTTGAAAAACAGCAGTTTAAAAATCCTATCTGAAAATTTGGGACTTTTTAAAAAAATACGGACATAGTTCAAGATGGTAGTGATACATTATTCAGTAAGTAACAGAAATGTCTTTAAGTTCGAAGTGCTAGATACTTCATGATTTTTTTTTTATTTTTTTAAATGTTTTTTTTAATGTTTATTTATTTTTGAGACACAGAGAGACAGAGCATGAACGGGGGAGGGTCAGAGAGAGGGAGACACAGAATCTGAAACAGGCTCCAGGCTCTGAGCTGTCAGCACAGAGCCCAACGCGGGGCTCAAACTCATGGACCGCGAGATCGTGACCTGAGCCGAAGTCGGCCACTCAACCGACGGAGCCACCCAGGCGCCCCATGATTTTTCTTTTAAAGACTTCTCTCTCTGTGTTTCTCTGTCTACTTCTGTCACATACCCACTGCCTTCGGGATTCTATAATTCATGATAATGTAATGAAAGCAAATGAAATCCTCGTGGTGCCGTGGAAAGAACACTAGCTGGAGGGTTAGGCTCCCTGAATTCTCATCTTGACTCTGTCAGGAGTTAGCTGTGTGATCTTAGATAATTCATTAAATAACTCTGGGCCTCAGTTTCCCCACCCATAGAATGCGCACATGGAGCTCAGTAATCTGTAAAGTTCTAAAGTTGCAAACCTGTAAACTTCAATTTGAATGGCAGCAGAAGCGGAAGGAAGATTTTTGTAGGAATTATTCACAAGCAAAACAGGGGTCACCATTTGGTAATTACCTGAGGCAAACAATTCGATGTGGTCATGGGGACAGATAAACTGACAAAGTCTATCTGGCCTGGAATCCTCACGAATCCAGGCGATAGGAAGGTTAAAAGATGGGGGGCGGGGGGGGGGGGAGAGGGAGGCAGTTCACTCTTCAAAGTAAAGGCAAGATCCCTTTCTGAGGGCAGAAGTAAAGTCTTTGTTCCCAAGTGTTCCTCACTCTGCTGGGTCCTCTTCCGCTACCATCCTGAAGTTTCCCAACTGGATAAGCACTGTCCTGTCAGCGATGACCCATCCTCCTGGCCCCATCTGCCACATTGGTCTCTGTGCTGTTTTTCAGAGCTCAGCGCTGACCTCAACCTCTCTTTCCCATTTTGCTCTCCCAGCATGAGGGGTTGTATGGTGCTGCATTTTCCTGAGGTAAAGGATGAAAACCGAAAGTTTCTCTGCTCGATTGTGGCTTTATCGAAGCATCCTCTCCGACCATCCTGGCTGATAAGACCACATCACTTTCTATCCCCTAACCTGCTTCATTGTTCTTCAGAAGGGGTATCACTCCTGGACATAGAATTATTTATTTATGCGTCTGCCACGTCTGTAGGGTATTCATGCCAGCAGGGTTTTGATACCTGTTTTATCCTCAACACAGAAAGCAGAGCCTTGGAGCATAAAAGATGCGTGATAATATTATAGTAATATTAATATTATGTTGAACTAATAAAATATGTCTTATGGTAAATCCAGACCTCTGATCTAATGCTCTGACCAATCGATCCCCACAAGCCCTATCCCCAAGGAGAAATTCAACTCATGTGCATTCAGCTAAGGTACTAAGCTTTGTTTAATCCTTACTCTGATTTCTGGCAAGGGAGCACCTTGTCCCCATTTTGTAGATGAGGAAACTGACATTCAAGGAACCGAGATGCCTCGCTGTAGGGCCCACAGCAACCGAGTAACAATTGAGAATGGACTCAAGTTTTTTGACTTGGAGTCTGCTGTGCATTTCTCTGTCTCATTCACCATGTGTGCATCCTCGCAGGTCATTTCCCCATCTTTAATTGGGACCATGGGCATAGAATCAAGCTTTCCTGGATGGAAGAATGAGATTCAATTGAAGACTGCAAAAAACCAAGAGGCGGGTTTTGAAACCAGGTCATCTCTTGAGCAGCAACCCGTATCACATGATTTTCAACACTGATAATATCACTGTGGGGAGCAGGGGTGGGGTAGGTGTTGTTTAATATCGCCGCTTAACTTGTGTGTGGCAGAAGAAGAGTGGAATGGCTCCTGAAAATTTTAGTATTCCTAACGTGATGCTCAGAGCCTTCCCAGGAGACATTCTTGGAGAGGAGAAGGGAACATGACACAGAAGGACTTGTAAGAAGGGCAGCGAGATTAAGAATTTGAAAACACTGAGTTGTGCAAATTATGCACAGAATAAAAACCCTCTGCAAAGAAATCCAGACTCCCCTGGCATCCTGGAGCAAATACCTCCTTAGTGCTGAGACCCAGAGGTATTTTAAAAGATAGACATGCCTTATAGTTGAGGAAGAAATATGCAGGTGCATAAAAATCACATTCCGGAATTACTCGAAGATGATTTGTCAAGGTCACTCAAAGTGGGAACCCCCATTCTAGGTTTCTGTCTACAGACCTCAATCTGTATAAAACTAGATTTCATGAACATGCAGGTACATGCCCTTATGGGAGCATATAATGTGATATATTAGGAAGAGAGGATTCGAAAGTTACTACTGTAGAGCTAGTTTAGTCCCACTGTTTCATTTGTACAAAGATTTTGAAGTTCACATGGGTCTAATGGACCGTGCACTCCCACACGGAGACCAGAAATCCACGGGCCTCCCCTTGTCCACTGTCCCCTGCTAAGACAGTGCTGGAATCATCTCCGGAACAGGGTCTGGGGTACATCAAGGTCCAAAGGTCACACAGGAACAGGAAACTGGCTTTCACACACTTTCAATACCAAAGTATACACCAGCAAGTCAATTCTGCAGACTTTGGGCGACCAAAGATAACTCTGAAAGTCACTGCTCTGTGGGTGCGCGTCTGCATAGCCGGGTCACCTGGACAGGAGACAAGGGTGCTCCTGAGGAGGGTTTGGAGGGGCTCCCAGGCTCCCACCACCCACATGAAAAAGAAGACCTTCATTTCCATCCTTGGCATGAAGCACCAGGGTCCTTAAGCCTGTTCTCACTGCCTGCCACGCCAGTCCCTGTGTGTATATCTAAAGAGGTTAGCACATCTCGGGTACACAGACCACAGCTTCCTCCATTTGCTCAGGGCCTTAGAGGTCCGAGTATCATGGAGATATTGCTTCACTTCTCCTTAGGGTGTCCACATCAAGACCCTGGAGCCATCTTACCAACCTTCCGGATCAGAGGGAGTGCTTCTGGGTAAGGGGTTAAGTGTCCTGACGAGGGGGGCGTGTTTCTAGAGCAGAGCATCCTTTTACCAAACCTGGGACACACAGACACTTGCAAGCACACGCCCGCAGGCAGAGGAGCAGGCGCAAATGACCAGTGGCCACCTCCACCCTCGCTATAGGGACACTCCTCACCCCCACGCACTTTAAATTGGAAGAATCCGGACTCACAGAGGCTCCCCTTAACCCAGTACAACCAGTTATCGCCTCTCCAGATTTTCAAGTTCCTTCTGTTGGTGCCTTTTACCTAAGTCAGCATGTTTCAAACTTTCAGAAAAGAAAAGGAAAAAAAAAAAAACCTTAGAAAATAAAAACCACTACTCCACCCAAATGATAAAAATCTCTTCAATTCTCCAAGCACAACATCTTAGTCTCTCCTCTTAACTCAGCACTGAGCGAGAAGTTGATTCCTTTGGGTTCTGGGGAATGGCGGGCTCTGCCAGTCCCCACCTCACCAGCCTAATAGTTTTTCCAGACTGACTCCTGCTTGGTGTTGCGGGACAGCCTGGAAGCCGACTCCTGGTCCCATTCATTGCTCTCGGTCCTCTAAGGTCAGTCACTTGAGGGGGTGTCCCTCCTCCCTGCTCCCGGCCCCACTTCCCGCTTCCAGAAGGAGCAGGCAATCAACACTCCTGAAGTCTGACTCGAAACCCAGACCCTCGGCCACCCCTCTGGGCTGCATTTTGCAACCCAGACCCAGGCGCGAGGTGTGTGGGGTGACGCGAGGGAGGGGGGGGGGTGGATTTGGCAGGGCGGTCGCCGGGGATGTGGGCTCAGCGCCGGCCACCGAAGGAGAAGGGGCTGTGCAGGGCGCGGGACCCTCTTTGGGAAACCGTGGAGCGCGCCTTGCCCCCGGAGTCGGCGCACGCCGGGGCGCGGAGAGCCGGGGCCGGGGGCTGGGGCTGGGGGGGGGCGGCGCGGCGCGGGGCCGCAGAGAGACCCCCCTGCCGGCTGAGCGCCGAGGCCCGCCCGTCAGTCCCGGGGAGCCGGCAGCTCCCGAGCGCCGAGAGCCGGCAACGCAAATACCAAGAGGAAGGGAAACCAGCCCGCGCTGACATGTAAACAGGGGATTCCATCTGGAGGAGCCCGCTCGGACAGACCCCCAGACACACTCACTTGCACCCCGATCCGCCTGCAACCCATCCACTTGCCCGCCCCAGGGCCCTCCAGGCGGGGACCCGAGCTGGTGGCGGCTGCATCTCCCGCCCCCGTCGCCTTCGGCCTCGGGTAAGAAGAAGCCGGCCGCCGGGCCAGTGCCCGGCGCCGGGACCAAGGCGCCCAGCTTGCCCGGGGGTGGGGGGAGTGATGGACCCGGGGGTCCCCGGCCCCTGCCTTGGATCTGCTCCCGGCGTCCCCAGGTTTCACGCGGACCTCCGCCCGCAGCCCGGCCCGCAGCACGTACGAGCGGGCCGGACGCGGCTTCGGGACAAGGGGTGCGGGGGGGGGGGGGGAGATCGCTGTCGGTCGTGAACCCGGAGGGTCGCGCCCGCGAGTGAGACTCGCCACCGGAGCGCGGGAGGAGACGGCGCGAAGCCGGGGCACGGAAGGAAGGGAGAGTGGCCACGTCTTCCGGGACCCCGGCGCCCAGCGCCAAGCCTGCCCGCTGCCTCGCCGCCCCGGCCGGCCCCGCCGCTCCCGCGCCCACTGCCCAGTCGCTTACCTTAATAGTCCCGTCCATTTGGCCAAGTCTGCAGCCGAGCCCCCCAATATTCCACACATTGACCCGGTTACAGCCTGACCTCGCAGCCCCTTCGGATTAGCCCGGCGCGGCCTCCCTGGCGCCCTGGGCCCTCCCTGCGTGCCCCCCACGAGCGCCCTGCCCTCGCTCCCCTGTGCACGTTTGTTGTTGTAGCGGAGCGAAAAAGAGACAGTTAACCGGATGAAACTTTTTTTTCAGCTAATTTTGGGAAGTGACTTCACTTTGCGAATCGGGGAGGAAGTCCTATCTCTCTCTCTCTCTCTCTCTCTCTCTCTCTCTCTCTGTCTCGCGCTCTCCTCTCTCTTCTCTCCCCTCTGCTCTCTCCCTCGTCTTCCCTCCCCCCACACCCCCTCTTCCTCCCCTCTGCTGGTCCTGCTTTTCGCATCACACACACTATATAAATATACCCGGAGATGCCCAGATACATTCGTGCGCAGCGCACACAGGATACTTGCTCCTGGGAGATAAGAGAGAGCTGGGAACAATGCCGGGGTCCACGCCCGGCGCCCGCGCCCTGATTCCCGCAGTCTGCACCCCCACCCCCAACACCTTCCCCCAAAGTCCAAAACCAAACGCCTTTGGCCTCCTTCCTTTTCCCGGGGCCGTTGGCCGAAGGTGGCCCTCTTGACTCATTCCCTTTCCGTTTCTTCCCACAGATAGGTTCATTAATGCTTTTTCCAGCCGGAGTAAACTTATGGGGGGGGGGGGGGGTTCAGTTTACTCGGGCTGGGGATAACCTGGAGCCTACTGCCCGGGAAGATCCGGACTCAGACCGAAGGAAACCGACCATTAAAAAAATGCATCCAATGGGAATTTTTCCACTCGGGCCCTCGGCTGCCGAGTCGCGGCAGACTCCGGGAGCTATTTCACCGGCCGACGCGGACTCGGGGCAGTTTCGGAAGGACCCCACCATCGGGGGCGAGGACTAGGCTCCCAGTGCATTGTTAGCAGAAGGGCGCCCTCCGGGCGGCGCGCCTCGGCCCTTTGCTCCTGGAGAGCTCCCGGCGCCCGCCCAGGGCCGGGACCGGCAGCACCATAGGCCACCTCTCCGCGCCTACTAGGGTCCAACCCCTCGCACTTCACCTGGACCAGATGGCCCAAGTCCCAGCGTTCGGCCAGAGCCGCCTATGCAATGCTACTCCAAGCCCCAAGAAACCTACGCTACCGCGGGACGTTCCCTCCACACTGGTCAACAGGTCTGCAGAGCGCAGCACTCAAGATCGCGGCACCGTCATCCCCACCCAGCCGTGAGGCCAGCCGACTTTTGGCCCGCCTTGTCGGCCCCCGCCACCCAGAGACCTCCCCCGTCTTTCTGCAGGGCCGCCGCCGATCCCTCCAGTTGGGGCAGCCTCAGGAGTCCGGGGCGCAGCGAGGAGACATCCCCCCCACCCCACTCCTCCCCCAGGCGCTCTCGGCCTGACTCCCTTCTCCCCAACCTCCCAAACAGGTTACCTTGTCCACGCTCTCCAGACCACGCTTTGGACTTTTTCACTTTTATTTAAGAGTCCACCCGGGGAAGGAGGAAAAAAAAATCCAGAGGAGATCCGAGTCAATTGGAAAGAAAAAAAAAAATTCAAAAGGGTGTCCACAGCGGCGAAAAAGGTGACTTATTAATTCTTTATTTCTTCTGGAGCAATTGAGCCAGAAAGCTAGCTCGCCTCCCTCCCTCCCTCCCCCCACCCCCTCTCGAAATTAGTCTCATCAATTCAGCTCCAATTTTGGGTTCGAATACAGACGCGGGTCTGAACGTGACCAGACCTGGAGTGGCGGGTGCAGCCTGCCAGCAATTGAGACTCGGTGTGCGTATGGGGGAGTGGGGTGGGGGTGGGGTGGGGGTGGGATGGGGGCCGGGCCGACCCCCCCACCTCCTGTCTGCTTCTCAATCCAGGGGTCTGCTCCGGGGCTCCCCTGGGACCGCCACATCTGGTTACCGCTAGCGGGGTCAGTCCCCCCCCCCCTTTGCCTGGGGCCACCAGTTCTGGAGTTCAATTAAAAGAAATCAGGCTTAACCCTTTCCTCCCCTAGGCCCGGCCGCCTGCCCTCTCGCTCTTCCCTTCAGCTTTTCCACATGCTTTCCAGAGAGGAAAGAGGTTAAAGGGAAAGGAAGAATGAATTACATCCTTTCAAACCCCAAATTGTTTCCTTTTCAGCCCAGACTCTGCCGACCTTCAAACGACAACAGGGCTTTCAGGAGGGTGCGGGGAGACCACTTTCCACCCGAACCTGGCCAGAAACCCGGCACCCCCAGCCACATCGGCCCTCTTTCGGGCAGAAGGGATTCCAACTCCACCACCCGGAGGCCCCCTTCCGGGTCCTGGGCAAACACTGAGGTTGCTAATGGCCACCCCACCGGAGCCGCTACTCCCCCTTCCCGACGCACTCCTCCAAGTGCTTGAGAAGGCTCCTCTATGGCAAAAATGTAGTGTAGGTCTCTCTTCCAACTTCTATTGTGCCTGGCAAAGATCCCGTTACCTTCACTGCACTGATCAGTACAGTCACCCCAGTAAGCCTAGCACCCCCAATTCCTTGCAGCAGCAGCTGTGTCTCCCATTGGGAGTTGCTCAATATGCAACTAGATTAAACTGAGGACTTGCCCTCCTGTTTTCACCGTGGAGCTCAATAGCACTTTCTGTTTCTCCCTGAAAACCAAAGCTATGGCAATTTCGTAATTTTGAAGATGGGGGGGGGGGAGAGGGAGAGCGGAGGCTGGCGTTGGCATAACGGTCACCCCTTTGTGACTTACTGACTGGCACCCCTGCCATGCCTTTTGCTTTTTCTGAGCCCCCCCAGGAGGAGCTCCTGTCCATTCACAAGGTCCTCCACCCAGAAAGGAGAATCCCCCTCCCCCCCCCAACTGGGAACAACAGCTCTCTGAGGCATTCCAGACTCCCTCCACCCCACACTGACATACTGGTGGGCAAGTGTGCCCCACTTATGTAACTCTGGGTTTGCCGCTCAGCTCCTGCTGCTGCTTCTATTTTCAATCCCGAAGGGGGGAAAAGCCCTAACCAAACACAACAGTAAACAAGTCTGCCCTGTTTCATGTGGTTACCACCAGACATCTGGAAAGATGGTTTGATCCTGGCAGCTCACATTGTTTTCACGAGCAGCCAAAGAGAATATTTCGAATGTTTGCATTGAGACAAATTGATAGAGAGCCTGTGGTGAAGCCGGCTACAAATGAAATCTGTCTTTGGGTTGGGGAGGGGAAACCCCTCCCCTTCGCCCCTCTCTCCCGCCCCTTCTGTCTTCTCTCCCGCCCCTTCTCTCTCCCCTTCCTCCCTTCCTCTCTCCTCTCTCCCCCTTCTCCCGGCATAGCCAGGGACTGGTTACCCCAGCCCACACACTTGCACACACCCTCTTTCCTGGCTCACCAGAGACTGTCCTGCCGGCCTTTCCCAGACTGGGCAGGGCTGGTGACCCGCGGCCGGTGCCTGCTACCAGCCGTGCCCATTCCACCAGCCCAGACCCACGTTCAAGTCAGGGAGCCCTCACACACAGCCAAGGAAGCGGGCCAGCATTTAAAACAAAAGCTACCAGGTCTGGGGGTGGGGTGGGGGGGGCAACAAAAAACTCACCACACATGTCTAAGCCTAGGGTCACAGACAGAAAGCACGAACACGGAGGCGAGTATTTAGGAAATATTTGGGTTTTGAGCTTTTTCACTGGAACTTCGGGGCTATGACTTGCCTCGCACCATCCGCACTTGACAGTATTTTCAAACATGCGGAAGTCCTGCTTCCCGCGGGAGGGGAGCGGCTGGGCGAAACGTGTCTTGGCTCTCTCAATGTCAGCCCTTTTGACCGGGTCAAGCCTTTCCAGACGCGACTTCCTGGGCTTCTTTGGTCCCAAGCCCAGGTTGGGGGTGGGAGGACGCGACAGTCGGAGCCGGGTCCCCAGGGTGCCTCCGGACCCGGGTCACTTGAAACCCCGAAAGATGCCAGGCCTGGCACAGCCTGTCGGGCGGATCCTTTCCCCTGCGTCCTCCCTCCTCCCCCGCCCCTCGGGTCCAGCGCGGCCTCGGCGGGTATTCGAGCTGGCAGGGGGGGGGGGGGGGAGACGGGGGGAGGGGGGAGAAGCGGGGGCGCGGGGGAGGGACGGGCGAGCGAGCGCCAAAACTCCAGACTGCACAACTGCAGCTTCAAGTGTCTGGCCCCTCGCTCGAGGCCATAATTAATTTGAGATTTATTTTTATTGGAGAACTCGAGTCTCGTCTGACCTTAGCCAAACAAGGCAGCTCGAGCCGCCCCTGGATGCGCTTGAATGCCGGGGAATATTTCTGCAGGAAGGCTCTGCAGGCGCGCCTGCTTTGAATTTGTTTCTCAGACTTCATCTACTCACGGATTGAAGGAAGATTTAGAGCCTCTGCTCGCCCCTGCCCGCTCCCCACGCTCGTTCTTGCCTTAGCGCCAAGCGGGTTCAAAACGCTACGTGGGAGGCCGCGGCGGCGGGAGGGCCGGGGGGGGGGGGGGGGACCGGCTGGCCCGGCTGGGGGAGGGTCTCTGCGCCCAGAGCCCGAGGCGCTCGGGGCCGGGCCGGGTCCCCAGACCACGCGGCGTCGACGAGGAAATCCCAAGGGAGTCCGAGGCCGACCAGAGAGCGCAGGCTGACAAGAGGTGGAGACCAGCCAGGTGCCTGGACTCTCACCCAGCGGCGGCGGCGCCTAGACTGGGGCTTGGGGTGGGGTGGGGGGGGAGAGGGGAAGGGAGAATTTCATCCCCTCCAATCTCCGTCCTTCCTGCCTCCCGGCCGCCCCACACGGCATTTATTCTAAGTACAGACCTGTGTCCTTGCAGCCCCTCTGCAGGACCTGTTGGCCAGATGCTGCCCCTGGGCCGTGTGGTGGTGAACATTCTGGGGCTCTAAGCCTCCTTTGGTCTGGTGCGTGGTGTGCATGCTGGTGTCTCCTCCAGCATGCAGCAGGGGCTGAAACAGCAGGGTAGGTGGTGAGGGAGTGAGTGTAAGGAGTAGGGCAGGTTCGCTAAGGGGGGAAGTGGAGGACCCTGACCGTCTCGTGGGGCGGGCGAGGGACCTTCCGAGTTGTGCCCCTCGCACCGGGATCGACTGCGATTTGCATAGCACGGGACCAGGATTCCTCTTGGGTCTCCTGCGTGCTCCACCCCGTAGCTGCAAGTTGGGACGTCCAGGTTGAAAGCCTCGCTGGGGGGCCAGGCTCCTAGGTTTGAATTCTGGCTCCGCACTTACCAGCTCTGTAGGTTTGAGCAAGCTCCTTAACCTCTTTGTGCCTCAGTGCCTTCATCTGTACAGTGGTGTTATAATAGGACCTACCCCTGGCGGTCAGCACAGTTCTGTCCTTAGCTCCACCCCTTACAAGCTGCGTTCCGTTAACCTCTCAATACCTCGGTTTCTCATCTGCAAAATGGATTACCTCCTCGGGTTGGTATTAATATTAAACGAGTTAGTATAAATGCAATGCTTAGGACAGGACCTGGCAAATGTAAGGGGTACCTTAATGGTACCACCATTATTCACTTACTGCATGTTATGGCCTTAAAGAGTCACTCGTGTTCCTTCGCTCCCTGCCCCTTGCTCTTTCCAGCCTCATCCCCACTCTAAGGGTTGTCCTGCGCATAACCCCCTGGGCACTCTGGGGGGTTCTCAGAGCCCAGATCGCTGCCGGGTGGACGGGGTGCCCTTGACTGCTGTGCCCGGCTGGGCTTCAGGCCCTGGGCCTGGGCGCCTGGGCTCTCAGTGTTTGTCAACAACCTCGGAGCCGGGTGCCTGACGCGCAATGGCAGGGGCTTGGCAGCCTGGGACTGTTTGTGCCCCTCTGGCAAATGGTCGATGTAGGGAGCCGGCGGAACAGACCCAAGATTGTCCCTGCCACGCAGACCTTTCGCCGCCGTCAATGCACCCCTTTGTGCAACAATACAAACTTTGTGGCTGCTGAAAAATCCATTTTTCCCCCTTGAAAAGAGCTCCTGCGGCGAGCGGCTCCTTTGGCTGCCCACAGCTCCTGGGCTGCAACCTCTCTCCCTGCTCCCCACTCCAGACCGCTCCGCTCTCCTGAGCCGGTTTGCTTTCTCTCTGACTCCGGGCCCGGGTCAGTCTCCTGGGCTCCCACTTGCCCCTCTAGGCTTTGTCATCCCTGAGGTTTTGGATCCCCGGGTGTGTGCAGACCGGGGTGGAGGGGTGGCTGGGGGCGGGGGTGGGGGGGGGAGGGCACTTGCTGTCTTTGGGGCCGGGCTGGAAGTGAGAACTCCCTAAGCTTCTGGAACTGGGCGTGGCGGGGGTGGGAGGGGTCACAGCCTGCCTAACCTCTCCGGAAAACTGGACTTAACGAACCCCGGCGCGCTTTAAAGCCTCCCGGTGTACGCCCTGCCACTTCCTGGGGGCCATCGGTCCAGCCATCTATTCATTGATTGTCGATACATGGAGTCACTTATTTTTCATTCATTCATCACAGATTAAACACCTCTTCTCCGCCAAGGCTCTGGGACCCGGCCTCCTTCAAGTGACTATAAAACTCCTTTAGACCTCGGGAAGGGGTGGGAGTCGGGACACGAGTACCTCGTGTCAACAAATTTCCCTTTAGAGAAATGGGAGGAGGGCTGGACGCTAAAGTGGCGCTCCCCCCAGGGTCGCACCCCATCGAGGTGGCCACGGGCCGGCAGACTGACCCACACTGCGGTGGCATTCCCGGATGCCGGAGGGAGCTCAGCGTGGGCACGCAGGTGGGGGTGGGGACCTCAGGGGCGGAGTTTCAGGGAGAAAGGGGCGGGGCCGGGACCCGAGGGGTAGGTTTTCAGAACCGCGGTGGGCCCTTCCTCCTCCGACCTGGGACTCCGACTCGGGCTGGCCCCGGCTCGGGGCTGCTACCCGGAAGGAAGGAGGTCGCGCCTGGGTCCCAACCCCGGGCACCCTCAGCCCCGCCCCGCTGGCGCATTTTCATTTAAACGTGCAACCCAGATGTCCTGGCCTCGGTTTGTTTACATTCTTGGGAACTGTTGTGAGTGGGAAAAAAAGTTTTATATTCTGTCAAATGTAGCAGTCTGCTCTTTGGAGGGCGGGTGGGGCCAAGAGAGGTGGGCTTCAGGACAGACGGGGTGTCGAGCCGGTGGGAGAAGCGCGTCGCGTTCACACAGCCGCGTACACACGCCCAGAGGCTCATGTGCACGCTCCCCAGTACGCGCAGACCCTTACTTTGAAACCTGTTGTGCGCCAGCGGCGCGGGCGCAGGACCCACTGGGACCCGATGCTAGCTCGCAGGTCCGCCGACTGGCGTCTCGGCTTTCCCTGCCCAACCTCATCGCGCTCACCCACTTCCAGTCTCTCGATCAGTGCCTACCGAGAGCGTTCCTCCCCAGCCAAGGATTCCTGAGGGTCTGTGCCACCCTAGGGTGGTCGGGAGCGCCCCAGGCTCCAGATCCACCCGCTGAACCCTCCACCCCTTTTCCCGGGGAAAACGGGGAGCGACCACAGGCCCGGTGGCAGAGGGGCAGGGGGTCATTACCTGTTTAAAGACGCTGTCATGTCTTACCTTGACGTAAGACGACGTGTCGGGGACTGTCTGAAACATCCTCCGTTGGTGAGGAAGGGTCAGGAAGGCCCAAGAACCAACCTGGGTGGGAGAAACCTCAGTCACCCGAGAGTACAACATGGGTGAGGCGGTGGCGGGTGAGGGGGGAGGTGGTTGGGGAAGGAGGCTGGATGGCTCTGATCGCCCAGGCCAGAAAGGGAGGATCCCCGTGGTCAGGTACTGGGAGCCAGTTCTGCGTCCCTGCCTCCCGACTTCAGGCTAAGGGATGGCGAAGGTTGAGAGCCGGCTCAAGACGACCTGTGGTTTTTCCTTGCAGTCCTGTAACCCTCCTCTATCCACAGATGAGACCACCCATCCCCACTCTGACCCCGGGCCTGGGTAGTTCCACACCTAGGGACACAGGGGCCCCTCTGAGCCGGAAGAGAGAACCCTGCCCTGGTAGGAGTAGGTCTCCCCACCAATGCAGCCCAAAGCCCCAGGGAGCAGATATTTACAGAACTGCCAAGCTTGGGCCCTCAGGGCACAGATCTTCAGCCTGCCTCCCCAACCACCTCAGGACTCCACCAGTGGCCAGCTGCCCCCCCTCTTCCCTGCTAGTGGACCGCTTGGGGAGGACGACTGGCTGAAGGTCCTAGAGATCTAGGGAGGCCCTTTCCCCAGCCCCGGCTCCTTAAAAGAGTTTTGAGGGCAGAGACCAAGATAGTGAATGACGCAGCCGCATTTCTAGTGGCGGCGGAAATGGTGTGTGAAGTCTGAATATTTGGGCTAGCGGGTGCAAAAACCACCCTAGATGCCAGGTGCCTCTGGGTGAGTCTCTCCCTGCCTTGCCAAGTCTGGCCCTCTTGCCTTCCTTCTCTTAAACCATCTTTAACGTGGCAGCCCGCAGCTTCTCCGGCAGCCAATGTGTTTCTGATAAAGCACTTTTCTCCCCACTAACAGATTCCAGCTTTTGGCTCCTGAAGCCACAACACACACGCACACGAGTTCAGGGACCAGGTATGTTCCTTTGGGCCCTTAAATACCTCTTCCCTGCCTCTGTCCTCTCCCCAGGAGTGTCCCCAATTTTCTTTGCAACTTGGAGTGAAATTTGCAAGGAAAGTGGGGGGGGGTGGGTGGGAAGGAGAGAAAAGAAAGCCCCTCCTCCAGAGAATGAGAGAAAGTCCCAGAAAGCCTCCCATTTCCCTACTGCAGCTGGAGCAGGGAGAGGCGCCACCACCCTAAGTCCCCTCAGAGATCCCCCCTACATGAACACTCACCTTAGACACCCTCGTCTGTTTGGCCAGCGGCAGCCGAACTCCTGAAACTCCAGGATGTCTGAGCTCTGAGTGCTAATTCTCTGCTACCAGAGCCCCCGAGATTCTTGGTGGTGCCGAATTAAACCTGCAGGCTGCCCGGAGTCAAGCTGCACCTTTCTTTGCAGTGTATCCAGACCGCCAGCCTGGGTCCCAGCAGGAGCTGGGGGGCCCCCCCGCAGGAACCGCTGAGCTCCTCTGTCTGTGCGCCCTGCCGCTTTCCTCTCTGCTGCCTCTCTCTGGCTCTCTTCGTCCCACTCCCCCTTCCTTTCTCTTTTTCCGTCTTTTAATTTGATTTCCGTTTTCTTATCAATATTTCAACTGCTGTCTGATGAATTGTTCTAATAGACAGCCACCCGTGTGCCCCTAGCTGCTTTTCCAGAAACCTCCGGGTGTTGCTAGGAAATGTCAAGGAACACTAGAAACCACACACATATTGCAAACGTAAAGCCAAGAGGAGACGTCGGGACCCAGGCCTCCTTTCATTTGATTATTTACTTTTTAAATGATCGCTATACAAATAATTATTCCTAGGACTTACATAGTATGAATGAGGTCCTCTTTGATTTTTCAAGCCCTGAAGTTTGGCTTCCTTAAAGGTTACCTTTCCCTTTATGTGGACCTCCCCTGAATACATCTTTTTCTGATCCACATTTTCCAGGCAGCATCTATAAGAGCAAGGTGATTTGCAAATGTCAGGGAAACAACCCTATTATGGACTTTTAATTTCAAAACCACAACATTTAACAACACCCTCGCTAAGGAGGAATTTCTGGGTCCTCGAATTTGTGGTGTGTTTTTCTTTTCTTTCTTTCTTTTTTTTTTTTTTTTTAATTTTGGAATGTTGCTCATTGCTTCACTCTAAGACGTGGCCTTGAATGGGGCTCCGATTGCCGAGTCTGTGCTCACATTCACTCTTTTAGTTGCCCAATCCAGGGCCATTCTCCGCAAAACAGCCCGGCCTCGGCCTCGAGAGGAGTTGCCAGTGTTGCTCCCACCCTGGCGAGTGGTTTTCACACCCTGGAGCTGCTTCTGAGGCTCCAGTAACCAGGAGCTTCAGCACCAGCTCCCCACCCCCCCCAGAACACTTGGCAAAGACCAGAGCAGATGAACTTGGGAGGGAGAAGCTGGGGGGGGGGCGGTGACAGGTAAAGGTAGAGAGTGTGTCAGTTTGTAAGAGCAAACCCACAGCTTTGTGTACCTCCCAGAATTAGCCTCAGTTGCTCAAGCTTTGTTCTTTCTCGGGTGCCTAGACCCCTGACTGTTTTGGTTCTGGACACTGAGAGAATTAACTCAGTACCTGTTCCCTTTTCTCTGCCTCCCCACTCCCTACCCCTCAACTGGCTCTGGAAATTTCTGACCAAGAGCAATTGCTAGGATTCCATTTCTGGAGAAAGCACACTTATCACCCAGATCTCCCCACGTGGGGGGTATGAAGACTGGCGGCAGGGTTATTCATTATTTCCTTCTCAACAATATCCCGATTTTTCTCTCCGTCCCTCCCCCAAAGCTCAACATATTGAAACATTTTGCTGCTTACTAGGAGCTGCCAGGAGAGCTATGAGGTGAAAGGCCAGCCTGGGACCGTGACTGGGGCTGCCTGGGCTGGGGGCTGATGGCCAGACTGCCCCCTCCCAGCACATTCCTGACCATTGCTTAGGAAAACAAGACAGGCTTGCGGAGGGGAGGGGACTGAAGTACAAGAACCAGTGCCCCCAGAACTTTGTTCCTGGGATTCTTGGAGAGAGCCTCTTGCCTCCCAAAGGGAGCAAACACTATTCCAAGCAACCACAAATAAAACAGAAGGTGCTCCTGCATCCTGTACCGATGTCGTGCATTTTAAACAGAGGTTCTTTTCAGGGAAGTTGGAAATTTGAAAATGAGGGCTTCAGCTATATTAGAGGAGGTGAGCACTAAACAAATTGTCTAATTAATACCTCACCATCCAGGTTAAGTTTTTCCAGCCTTGGTCTTTTGTCATTTTCTTTTAACCTCCCTAGTCTCCCTTCTTTTCTTGGAGGGAACTTGTAAGAGATCACTGGAGTACTTTCTCCAGATTTCACAGTTGTTCTCACAGATTTTAAATTCTTCCTTCTTAATGTGTCACAGGTGCTATCACGTCCTTATTTGTAGACCTATCTATCTGAGGTTTGCCTCTCTTCACTCGATTGTAAGCTTCCTGAAGGCAAGCATTGAGTTTGTTTTGTTCATTGCAGGATACCAGTGTCCACACTGAAATCGACAGGCAGAGAAGTGGGGCAATTACTTAACCACATGTCTTCTTTCTGAACAATAAGGAGAGAGGGGAAAAGGAAACATACAAAACAAAACCATCCTGTTGTTATTAAGGGCAAACTGACAGGGACAGTTCCCCTGAGTATACTAATTCATTTTCTGCCTTGCAGGGTTGCATGAAATCAGTGCTCATGTGTTGGCTTCCTTTTTACATACATGGTTTAACCAGGAATCCTGAGATCATCCCTCTGCCCAGGTACCATGGGTATGGTCAGCTGACGGGGGTGTCCTCCCCTAGTTTGGTACCCAACTCTTCAGGTTGTGTGTGTGCACACACACACACAGGTATGTGTCCTATTTCTTCCTCTTCCTATAATTTTAAGAGCCAGAATAGGCATTCACTCCAAGGATCATGCATATAATAAAATCTTGGTGGTCCTGGGAAAAACAGATGAGCTGATCTGGATTCCCTTCCAACTGGGGTTTCAGAGCTGGACATAGACCTGGAAGCCTGCCGTGTTTGTGTACGTGAGGGGGTAGGGCGGGTTAAGGATGCCGAATGGGAGAAGTGCCTGCAGCCCCAACCACCCGTCTGGGAATAGGGAGGTGGGGTACAATTAGAACCCTGGCTATCTCATCCTCTGGGAAGATACAGCCAACTCCCTTTGTCACCTGGAGCCTTCAGTTTGCCAGAAGAAAATTGCTGAAATTGGTAACAGCTGCCATAAGGAGGAGCCTAAGAGAGGAGAGAATGAAGGGAAAGGGGCAGGAATACTCATTAAAGCCAGCTTATCCCTCTAACTGCTTCCAAAGGGAAAGGGTTGTGGGGGGGGGGGGGGTGGTTTGCTCCATAGTTATTGCTGCCTCACCAGCTCATACCAGGCTGCTTCCTTGGGTCATAGATTTGTAATCCAGAGCCTGGTCATTAGCAAGTGACCCTGGTACAGAGTTTAGGAGGGTGGGAGATTGGAATCCAAGAAACGCTCCCAGCAGGGGAAGTGGGGGGCACTTTATCTGGGTGGTGCCACCATGGGTTCTATGCCAATTAGTACTCAGCTTCCTTATTTGGCTAATGAGAGAGCTACCATTAGATCATCATGAGATGCCTTCTGATTAGAGTATGCTATAATTCTGTGAGAGTGTTTAACCTGGGAAAGGATGTGAATCAAAGGCAAATTAATGGTCTAGGGTTAGACAGAAACTTTGGGTTCCAGTTTTAGCTCTGCTCCTGATGAGTAGTGTTATGAACTGAATTGTGTCCCCCCTGAAATGTATACTCAAAAGCCCTTACCACCAGTAATTCAGACTGTGAATGCATTTAGAGATAGAGCCTCTAAAGAGGTAAATAAGGTAAAATGGATGGACCCTAACCCGATAGGACTGGGGTCCTTATAAAGAGATTGGTACGCAGAAATGTGGAACACAGAAGAAACCTGTGTGGGCACAGTGAGAAGGCCACCAATGGCAAACCGAGGAGAGAAACTTCAGGAGAAAACACACCTGCTGGCACCTTGATCTTGGACCTCCAATCTCCAGAACAGTGAGGAAATAGATTTCTGTTGTTTAAGGCACTAATACTTTGGTATTTTATTATGGCAGCCTTAGCGAACTAGGTATTTTGCCATGATTTGGTTTCTCCAAGCAAGTAAAAGAATTGACAGGGTTGACACACTTTACTCAACTCTTCTGGAACCCATTGTGATGATAAATATCTATTTATTGCATATCCACAATGTTTCTGGCCGTGTGTAGCCTTGTGTGTAAAGCAATATTCTGGTCTTTGTGGTTCTTTCCACCTCCCCTCCCCACCCCCCAAAATGGCTTAAACCTCATTGAGTTTCAATGTCCTCTATATTTTCTATTCCTTTCGCTCTTAATGACGGGAAGGAAGGAAGTTGCTTCCTGCTCCTCTAGCAAGCAATTTCAGATTTTAAAGGGTAGCCAACGAGATGTCATGCTCCTTATCTCTCATTATTTGTGTCCTCTTATAGCCCTTGCCAGGCTGCAAACCTAGACTGAGCTCCTGGAAATTACAAGGAGAAAGAAGTGGGAAATCTGCTCAGGGAGATAAGTCCAGGAAATGGAGGCAGTGAGTAGAACAGGGTCCCCTAAGAAGAGCTGGCCGACGGGGGCACTTTGGATTTTGAGATGTGTGTGAGCTGGTCAGGCCTTTGATTCCTATCATATACCAACACACACACGCACACACACACGCTGCCATTCACACGTACTCTCAGTGTAAAAGGGGATCTTGGAATGGGGGAACATGGGGTGCAAAATAAAGAGCATTCAGAGCAAGGACGGAGAACCAATGGATTGAGAGATCAGTGACCCGGATGGGTGCAAGAAGAAGGACTTTTCCCAGGCTGACAGATTCATCCCTCACCTCTAGCTTCAGATTAGACATATATAAAGCTTCCCAGGACTGCAGATGAAGAGATGAGGTCACTGGGGAATGGATGAGACCAAGCATTAAAGCAAAGAGGAGCCCTAAGACCAAAGACTTTTATATACATTATATTCTTTCCCTCCCGTCCCTTAGCAAGTTTCTCTCCTCCTTAAGTTATCTCTTCATGAATGTCAATTAGTTAATTTGATTTTATTAGCTAACCCTGAGCCCTGCTCTAGCTTAAATTTTTATAATTCTAAAGAGCCTATTCCTAGTCTCATCTATGGTTATACATATTTTGTAGGTTATTGGGAGACATTCTTTCTCCTGTTCCTGTTGAAAAAACTGTGGTATTCATCCTTCATAGTAACTCTAGTAAGGTTTCCGTGTGGCTTCAGTGTCTTCTGATTGAATGGAATAATTCATTCATTCATTTGCAGGGGAAGGGTCATGAGAAGGACCTGAGTGATATCACTGAGAAGGCAAAGGTTTGCAAGGACTGTATTATCTTTGCTCTGTCGACTTGGACTTAACCCTATAAAAAGAGGAAAGAGAACAGAATTAATGAAAGCATCAAGTTCGGGGTCATATGTAGAAGGAGTCACCACCACAGTTTAAGGAGAATGAATCGGTGACTTTAAAGGCTTCCAGGCATAATTGGATGGAGTGGGACAGTCAGTGTGTCCGCTGTAACTCTGAAGTGGACGATGATTGTCTTAGCTGAAAACGAAACGAACCCTTTGGGACGCTGTTGAGAAAAATGCCAAAGAAGAAAAAGTGTGCCCACTCTGGCCACCGAAGACACTAGAGCAATGCCGTCTGAAATACAGATGCCATTTTCATTCTTCCCTTCTTGCCTTCAGAACCCCAATTTACAGAAGAAAAAAGAAAAAAAAAACCTTAGACAAAAGTCGAGCAGGGCCAATACTAGTTACTTTTGGCACAAAGGTCTTGCGGTATGTTTTTTAATGGAGGGGGTGGGAGTGGGGTGAGGTGTGGGAGTATTTGAGTGAGGAGAGAGATCAATAATATCTCTGATACTAACGTCTAAGGATAATCGTTTGAGAATTGAGATGCTTTTGACCAAGTACTTCCAACCTCTAGACGGAAAAGACGCTGTGTAAATACTTGTCTGATCAAATACTGGTCTGATGTGTCATTATTGTTTTTTTCAGTGACCCTCAACTTTGATAGATGGGGACAGTGGGGTCCTGGAGAGAGCATGGTCACTTAGCGTTACTTCGATGCACGTCACAGCCGAACACAAAACAATGTCCCCCACTTAATACAATAAACACTGGGGACTCACTGCCTTGTGAGTTCCTCTGAGGGAACCTGCTTTCCCTAGATAAGAGATCAAAAGTAGAGGGTATATTTTCATTTTCTGGGTGTCTGTCTTTAAATCCGGCTTAGTGAAGCAAGGTGTCTCCTCGATTTTTGGTCGAGGGCAAGAGGACACAGGGTTTTTCCAAATCTTATTTTCTCTTTTTAAAAGGTCAGATTTGTGAGTGACACAGGGGTGAACTGAGCAACTGTGAAATTCTCATTGCTTCAGAGTGACTGGGTATTGTGGAAATGGAAAGAATAGGAAATTATATTTCACACTCTATGAAGCCTTCTTGCTGCTGCTTCTGGTGATGGTTTTGGACTAGAATGGGAGGGGCAGGATAAAGCGGATCTTGAAGAAATAGGTAAGTGTGGAATGCCCCACTCCAATCTTCCCTACTGCCTTCTCCACGTTCTGACTCAAAGGTGGGTTGGCCTGTGTGGCTACCAGAGCACATGCGACTTCAAATTGAGCTAGTTCTGCGTGTCCTTTATTAACTCAGCTAGCCACTCAGCTAGCTAGCTGTTTTGTCCTTTTGAGATCCCTATATCCTTTTCATTCTGCTCAACGCTTTATATAAGCGCAGTGGCAGTAAAAAATTAGAGCCAGGGAAGAGGGTTCCCGCTGAAAATTTTATGGATCAGCTGAGACAAGAGTCAAATGGCTACCAGGACTTCAGCTACTAGCTTGGGAAACCAGTTATTCCCAATTTTTTTTTTAACTGAACCCCTAGATGATTCTCTTCAAGTTCACTCACAGTAGAACGTTAGCAAGTTTTCTGAAATGGTTTCCCTGTAAGGGCTGACAAGGGGGGATGGTCAAATTTTCCAGCTGGGGAGGCTTTTCGATTTGGAACCAAACTGAATTTTGGCTTGCGTCTCTAGAAAAGAAACTGGTCATGGCTGTGGGGCCCAGAACCCCGAGAGATGATAAGCATTTGCAATCTTGAGCGCTTATCTCCTCCTGTATCTGGCCTTCTTGCATTTATAAAGTAAATCGGGAAATCTCACTACAACAGGCTTTCCTGTGAGGAGGCTGGCATTTCCTGCCTGCCCCACTGGGGACAGGAATGGAGGGAACACACTGCTGATGTTCAGGTTTTCCCATTTCAGCCCTGCAGCTGCTGCGGGGGTTGGGGTGGGGGGGCGGGGGGGTGGGGAGAAGAGGGCACCCACCCAGAGATCAGCAATGGTGTGAATTCGAGCTAAGGAGGTCATTGTTTTCCTGATACACTTTTCATACAGCCTTCTTACACATAAAATAAGAAAAGAAACACCCATTGTTACTTATTTGAACACACACACATGCCCAGGTACATATTCTGCATATGTGTGTTGCATGGATACCCAGCTGTCTTGCTTTGATGAAATTGATATATATTGTCATATACTTCTGACAAACTGCCATTAAATTGGTTATCTTAAAATATAACCATTTGCATTTTGTTGCACCAGGGAAATATTCATGTAAATTCCATGGTTTGACATCTTAAGGGGCACCTGGGTGGCTCAGTCCGTTAAATGCTCGACCTCAGCTCGGGTCATGATCTGGCAGTCCGTGAGTTCAAGCCCCGTGTTGGGCTCTGTGCTGACAGCTCAGAGCCTGGAGCCTGCTTCAGATTCTGTGTCTCCCTCTGTCTCTACCCTTCCCCTACTCATGCTTTGTCTCTCTCTCTCTCTGTCTCTCATAATTGAATACATGTTAGAAAAAAAATTTTTAAGTTTCTAAACAAATAATGCTTTTGTAAAGCGAAGTACCTCTCCTCATTTCTTGCACTTATCTTTAGGGTAAATTTTATTCCGTTTCTGATATATGTGCTATTGAAAAGATCACTTGTATTAATAAAAAATTTCACCTATTGCTTCTATCAAAGATGTGAATGTATGTAGAAAATCTGATCTTGTTCTATTATAGTATTTATATCACAAATTTTACATAGCACTTACAGTCATGTGTGATTGGACAAACCCTAGAGAAATTCACACTCAATTTCTGAGATGAAGAAACAGAATCTGAAATAGAAATTACTTCTTTTTTCATGGCAACATTTAAATATGTTATTTCATTAAGCAACATGATTATTGTTAGCACCATCTTTTACATGGTGAAATTGAATCATACATGAGAAACCTGAATCTCTTAGAATCATTAATATATTACTTAAGTAATGTGTTTTAGACATCATCTATAATTATGTAAGTAATTTGTCAAACTTTGCAGGGGGAGTCACAGGGCCTGGCTAGAACTCAAGTCTTTTCACTTCTTTTTTTTAAAGTTTATTTTTTATTTGTTTTGAGAGAGAGAGAGAGAGAGAGAGAATACCAAGCAGGCTCCATGTTGTCAGCACAGAGCTGGGTGTGGAGCTCGAGCTCATGAACTGGGACATCATGACCTGAGCTGAAATCAAGAGTCTGATGCTTTAACCAACTGAGCCACTTAATTGCCCCAACTGAGGTCTTTTCACTTGTACTCTTCTATTGCCTTGTTGAATTTCTATGAACATGGTACATGAAATTTACAAACTTTCCATCTCCTTTAAGTGGTGGGGGGGTTGCTCACCATCAGTGACAATTCACTGATTTCAGAACTCCCTTCTCTGTTCTTCCATGGTTAGAACACCGAGTGTTGCTTTCTGTTTCCTTTCCCTTTATCCCAGGAAGAAGGGTTGCAAAGATAAGAAAGATAGCTCATATATACTCTTCACCTACTTTTTCTCATGTTCCCGTATTACATAACCATGGTGCCATTCATTATCAAAGCTTAGCATTTGTTCAATACTATTAAATAAACTTCAAACTATTCAGATTTCATCAGTTTTCCTGCAGTGTTCTTATTCAGTTCGTGGGTCCAGTCCAGGACCCCATGTTGTACTTTATTGTCAAGTGTCCTTAACCTCCTTATATCTGTAGTAGTTCTTTGGTCTTTCCTTCTGTTGCATGACTTTGACACTTTTGAAGAGCTTTGGTGAGGTATTATGTAGAATGCCTCTAATCTGGGTTTGTCTGAAGTCTTACTATGATTAGATAGAGTTATGTATTTTGGGGAAGAATACATAAGAAGAATGAGCCTTTTATAGCACATCATCCTGGAGGGCCCATGAAATTGATGTCTTATTACTGGTGATGTTGACCTTGAACACTTGGTCAAAGTGGTATTGGCCAGGGTACTCCACTACAAAGTTACATATTTTTTCCCTTCACAATTAACAAGAATTAGGAGGGAGATACTTTGTCATTAACAAGTATTTGGTGGGGGGGGGGGGGGAGGCGAGGGAATACTTGGAGTACCATGCAAATATCCTGTTTTTCCTTACCCTTTTGCTCACTAATTTTAGCATCCATTGGTGGATTTCATCTTAAGCAATAATTACTGTGGTGTTCTAATGATGACTTCACTCATTCCTTCTACATTTATTAATTGGAATTCTTTTTAAAAAAAGAATTGTCCCTTCTCCTTTCTCTCTCCATTTCTTTTCATTTCCTTCCTTCCTTCCTTCCTTCCTTCCTTCCTTCCTTCCTTCCTTCCTTCCTCCTTTCATCAGTATGAACTTAAGGATATTTGTTTTATTATTTGGATTGCCATCTATCACTACAATTTATTTTGTTGCTCCAATTTCAGATTGCTTCACTTGGGCCATTGGGAGCTCTTTCTGAATTTTTTCCTTTAGCATCTCCTTATTTTCTGGCACCACGCAGTGCTTCAGGATTATCTTATATTTTCCCTGCCCCAGGCCTGCAATCATTTGCTTCTCCAAGGATCCCTGGTTCCTTGGATTGAGAATGGTATTTAGAAACCAAGATTAGAGGTTTAGTTGTGCTACTTGCTACTAGGGGTTACAGCCTTAGTCCCTCTCAGCAGACAGAACAAGGAAATATGTCCTAAATATACACACATATCTAGATTCCTTTCTGTATCTCTCTAGTCTGCTAGCGCTGCCATAATGGAATGCCACAGAAGGAGTGGCTTCAATACAGAAATTTATTTCTCACAGTTCTGGAGGCTGGAAGTGCAGGATTAAGGTGTTGACTGAGTTGGTTTCTTCTGAGGCTTCTCTCCTTGACTTGCAGCTGTCCAAGTCTTTCTCTATCTTCCTATAAGGACATCAGTCATCTTGGATTAGGGCCCCATCCTTAAGATTCATTTAACTTCAGTTATATCCTCAAAGGCCTTTCTCCGAATATAGTCACATTGTGGGTTAGGACTTCAGTCTATGAATTATTTGGTCCATAGCAATCTGTATATATATTTTAAAACAAGCTAATGCTGATACCGCCAGCTCAGTGCTATACGGCTCATTTTGGAATTTCCTCTTTGCTTATGTGTAATTTCTGTCTGCAGCAGTGAGGAATCTGGCACTTACTATCTACAATATATTTATTTATTTGTTCAACCGTAGCATACCTATGAAGCCCTTCCAGAATGGCTAATCCATGCCCTTGGGAGAAACAGATTCACCCAACTAAAGTGTAGCAGTTTGGTTCTTTTTATATATGGTCCTTTTTATGTTTAGCTTTACCGTGTTTGGTCAACACACTGTTTCCCAAAGTTACTAGGTCCCCTTTCTTACTCAACCTTTTGGTGTGGTTATGTCAACCACTTACAATGTAGTTGGGTTCAACTGTCATGGAATGAATTCCATCTGGGGTTCTCCTAAAATTGGGGTTGAGTTTTTCAATTTCCATACAGTAAAACTCACGGTTCTATATCGCATCAGTGCAGAACTATACTACTGTTCCACCACCCCCCAAATTCTTTTGTGCAGCCCTTTCTCCCACCCCCAATCCCTGACAAGCACTGGGATTTGCTTTTCATCCCCAGAGTTTTGCCTGCTTCATAATATGAACTCATACAATATGTAAACTTTGGGTCTAGCTTCTTTCACTTGCAAAGTATATTTAAGATTTATTTATGTTGGTGTATGAATTAGTAATGCATACCTCGGGGCGCCTGGGTGGCGCAGTCGGTTAAGCGTCCGACTTCAGCCAGGTCACGATCTCGCGGTCCGTGAGTTCGAGCCCCACGTCGGTCTCTGGGCTGATGGCTCAGAGCCTGGACCCTGTTTCTGATTCTGTGTCTCCCTCTCTCTCTGCCCCTCCCCCGTTCATGCTCTGTCTCTCTCTGTCCCAAAAAAATAAATAAACGTTAAAAAAAAAAAAAAGTAATGCGTACCTCTTCACTGCTGAGTAGTATTCCATTGTTGCGTAGTACTCGCTGAATGGATGTACCACATTTTAGTGATCCATTCACCCACTGAAAGACATCTACGCCATTTCCAGTTGGGGTGAATATAAATAAAGCTATAAGTACTTGTATACAGGTTTTTGGTTGTATGTAAGTTTTCAGTTTGCTTGGGCAAATATGTAGGAGTGGGATTTCTGGCTTTATGCTAAATGAACATCTAACTTTATAAGAAACTGCCAAACTATCTTTCCAAGTGGTTGTGCCATTTTATATTCTTATCAGTAGGTTTGAGAGCTCCGTTTGCTTTTAATACTTCTGAGCATTTGGTTGTAATTTGCATTTCCCTAATGACTAACCATTCTGAGTATCTTTTCATGTGTGTGCTTGCACCTAAACATCTTCCTTGGTGAAGTGTGTTTTCATGTCTTTTGTCCAGGATTTTATTGCTAGTTCTTGTTGAGTTTTGAGAGTTCTTCATATACTCTGGAAACACAGCTTTTATCACATTTATGTTTGCAAATATTCTCATTCATTCTGTGGCTTGTCTTGTGATTCTCTTAACAATGTCTTTCTCGGGGCACCTGGGTGGCTCAGTCGGTTAAGTGTCCGACTTCAGCTCAGGTCATGATCTCACGGTTCGTGGGTTCGAGCCCCACGTTGGGCTCTGTGCTGACAGCTCAGAGGCTGGAGCCTGCTTTGGATTCTGCGTCTCCATTTCTCTCTGACCCTCCCCTGTTCACGCTCTGTCTCTCTCTGTCTCAAAAGTAATAAACGTTAAAAAAAAAACCAAAAAACAATGTCTTTCTTTGAGCAAGTTTTAAATTTTGATAAAGTCTAGTTTATATTTTTTCTTGTATGTATCTGGTTTCGGTTGTCATATCTAAAACCTCTTTGCCATACCTAAAGTCATGCATATATTTTCCTGTGTTTTCTGCTAGAAGTTGGATAGCTTTAAGTTTTATGTTGCAGCCTATTATGTATTTTGAATTAATTTTTATATAAGTTGTAAGATATTTGTAGTGGTTCACTATTTAATTACTTAATATTTTCCATATAGACATCTGAATGCTCAGCACTATTTGTTGAAAGGACTATCTTTTCTTGATTGAATTGCCTTGGTACCTGTTCCAAAAATCAAGTGACTGTATTTGTGTGGGTGTATTCGTGAGTATTCCATTCCATTCCATCGATCTATGTCTAACCTTTTGCCAATACCACATTGCTTTGATTATGGTAGCTTTGTAGTGAGT